ATTCCTGCTTAGTGGGTTAAAGTTGTTTAACCTCAGACAAGTCAAGAGATAAAATAACTGGCTGCTAGGTCCTTGTATATGGTAACCAACTGCTAGAAGCCTAAAATAACAAAAGGTCTGCGACAGCCTCCCTTTATCAGCTTTCTTGTTTAGTATTTCATATGCCCATTAGCCCTGTGCTCTCAGATGATATGTTTTGTTTAGGGCTGTTTTGCTCCAGAACTCCTCAGCCCACACAAAGTAACTGGTATGTCACTGAATAATTTGATTTTGAGTCAGAGCGTTTTAACTAGCCAATCAGATGATAATTTGGGTTTAACTTTTCTCTTCTTGCTCATCAGCTGCAAGCAAAATCTTGTAGTTTTTAATCTTACTTAAACACTGAATAAAAAAATCTTTTCCAAAAATCAGAATGATCTTATCTTTAAGTTTTGTTATCCTACCATCTTTTTGTTGCACAGGGCTCTGTGGAGGTCATGTGTCTCTGATACCCCCCTACCCCCCTGTACTGCCCTGGAACTATCCCAGAAAAGGAGGTGACCACCTTATCTTAAGTATCACTGCAGGAAGAAATTTTCTGACACACACCGATGCTATGTTACTGTCTCTCCTAAGTCAGGGAGGCATCGCTTTGTTTGCATAATGTTATGGTCTTTGTTCTCATCAGACAAAACAACTGCTGGTCTGCAACTAGTTCTCTGTCTGTCACCTTTATACTGAAGTTTTGCTCTCAATAATGATAATCGCTCTTCAGAGAATTGAAGTACCTGTATTGTAGGACAAGAAGTAGGGAATTAAGATCTGCCTTTTGCTCATTTGGTTATTCTTAAGAATTTTAGGTTCTTAATCTGACTAATGTGCTACCATATGTTTATGGTGGTGGAGACACTAAGAATGTTTGAAAGAGGGAGTAAGTTTGACTGTTGCTCTTCTAATCTTTTGTGTTTAGATTGGAATAGAAGGACTCTGACTTTATTTTGTAATGGGAGGAAGAAATTTTCCCAGAGCAAACTTCGTTTTTCACCTGTGAAGTAACAATGACTTTAAAAAATGGTAATGGTGTTGGCAAGGAAACAGTGAGACCAGGTACGTTGTTGGTAGGAATGAAAACTGGGATAATCTTTCTGAAAAACATTGTCAGAAACCTTAAATGTTTCATGCTGTTTCTAATAAGTTTTTCAAAGGAATGACCATAAATGCAGGCAAAATTTAGGTATAAACATGTTAAGTTTTATTTATTTTACTTCAGAATTAGAAACCAACTAAATGCCTTCTGCAGAATTAACTTTTGCTGAGGAGAAATGGCACAATACTAATTCAACAATTCAGTTTAACATATTTATTGAGTACCTGTTATGCGTTCGGGGAAAAAAGCAGGATACAGAGCTGTAGGTACAGTATGATCTCAGCTTTATAAACACATTTTATATAGAGGTAGTACTATGTATTAACATAATGTAAAGAAAAAAAAATGCACCAAACGTTAATGGTGGTAAGAGTGGTTATATATAATTTTAGTCCTTTTTTGCATCCTTATATGTTTTCTCAATTTTCTGTAATGAAATTACTTCCATAATTTAAAAAGTGAGCTTGAAAAAGAAACATCTCCAGCAAGCATCCCACTTAAGTAAAGGTTTGTTGTCTTTAAAAACATAGCAATATGTGAAAAACAAAGTTTGCCTTGAAAAAAACTCAAATAGAGATTCTTAGAGAAACGTACATAAAAGAATGATTCACAGTCTTTGAGTAAGAGGATCCTTCCTCAATTTTATATTTTAAAAAGTGTACATGGTAAATTCAAAACCGTATGGAAGGCTATAAAATGACATCTTCCTCTTTGTATCCTATCCCCAGTTCTAGTCCCCAGAAGTAATCTCTATTAACAGTTTCTTTTGTAGTTTTCAGAAAAATTTTATGCATACATAAGCAAATATGTAATCTTTATTTTTTAAATAAATGGGATCATATTATATATATACCACTCTGCATCTTGCTTTTTTACAAACACAGTCTTGAAGATCTTTCCCCATCAACACATAGCTACCTCATTCTCATTAACGGCTGCAAAGGATTTCACTTGATAAACTTACCGATTCTCTGGTTGCGTTCATTGGTTATTAGTTTTTGTGCTTGTGTTTGTTTTTCTATTACAAACATTGCTACAGTGAACATCTTTGGGACGGTGTCTTCTTAGCTGTGGAAGTATACTTGAACGTCACTGAGTCAAAGGGTGTTTGCAGGGCTTCCCTGGTGGCGCAGTGGTTGAGAGTCCGCCTGCCAATGCAGGGGACACGGGTTCGAGCCCCAGTCCGGGAAGATCCCACATGCCGTGGAGCGGCTGGGCCCGCGAGCCATGGCTGCTGGGCCTGCGCGTCCGGAGCCTGTGCTCCGCAACGGGAGAGGCCACAACAGTGAGAGGCCCGAGTACCGCAAAAAAAAAAAAGGGTGTTTGCAGTTTGGATTATAAAAAATGCTGGGGAATTGCCTCCTGTAAAGGCTCTGTGAATTTACAGCAGCTAACAGGTAGGAGGATGTTGATTTCCCCACATCCTTGGCAGCACTGTATTATACTTTTTCATCTTTGTCAACATGATAAATGAAAAACTGTATGCATTTTATATGCATTGTGTTGATTATGAATGAAGGTGAGCATCTTTTAATGTTATTAGTTATTTTGATTTATTTTCTGAGAACTGCCTGTGTTTTCTTTCATTTTGTGTTTATCTTTTTCTTATTGATTTATAACAATTTCACGTATATTAAGAAAGTTAGCCCTTTGTCTAGCATATGCTAAATATCTTCTCCCTGTTCATCTTTTGATGAGTATGTTGATGGAAATTTGTTGCCACAATTTTTATGTGGTCCTGTATCAGCATTTTTCTTTATGGCCTCTGGGTCTTAAGTCTTGATTATAAAATACTTTTCCCATTTCAGAAAGTAATTTAAAAAAAATTCACCCATCTATTCTAGCATTCTCGTGGTTTCATTTTTTTACATTTACATCTTGTATCCGAGTAAGGGATGCGGCTCCCTTCCCTCCACCTGTGGCTAACATCCTCAAGAGCTAACCTGTGAGCCACCTCCATTTATGGAGTGGTCCATCATCCACCTGCCCCCCGCCCCCGATTTGGCAGGCCACCTCTGTCATGCACCCTGTTCCCACGTGTGGCTGGTTTGTCTCTGCTCTCTTTTCCTTTGTTGATCTTTCTATTCTCTCTGTTTCAAAACTACTTTTTATAACTAGCTTTATAATATATTTTATATTCTTTTTCCCCCCAGATTTATCCTGGATCTTTTCTCAAGTTTGTTTTATGTGAAACTTTATATTGTTCTTTTTCATATCCTGGCCGCCCCCCAATCTCATCCCCCCCCCCCCCCCCGCAAAAAAAAGTTATATTGACTTTAGGTATAATTGACGGCTTATACGAATGTTTCTGATATCGCTTTTAGAACCATCTTCATCCCATCTGATAAACTTTTTCTGTCTATTAGGAGAAAAATGCTTGTGCCCTGCAATTCTGACTGTCAGGTTGGGGCCCACGGCAGTGGAACATTTTGATAGGAATTTTCTATAGATACAATTCAGGTAAGGAACACTTATAAGAAGCAAAATTTTGAGTGTGATTGGCCTTTTAAAACCAGTTGAAAACTGCTCTGTTTTTAAAAAAACATTCTCCCAGATATCTAGGAAGAATATATCGACTAAACAAGTTTGAGTGTTCCATACTGTGACTGTCTGATTAGCACCTCCGAGGGGCATTGATAAAGACTCGCTGCTACTCAGCATATGTTTTGTGAATGAGCACACAAATGCAGCAGGTGTGTTTCCTCTGCCCTGTCTCCAAAATGTGCCTGCCAGGGACACTGAGACATGGCCCTCTGGCCTCCAGAAACTAACAGCAGAGGATTACTGTGGTGAAGCTATACAAGCGGACAGTCATAACTTCTGTGGAACCTGCCTTCTCAAGGAGAAGCACCCATAGAAGATAGATATGACACAGTTAATAGCACCTTTTTTAGTTTCTGAGAAACACAAGGTAAGAGTCTGGGAGGGAGCTTGAAGAGAGAGGGCAGGAGATGACATTGCAGTTGACTTTTTATGAAAAGGATTGCTATGGTTCTTACTAATGTTTTTGCCTTTAAAATCTCTGAAAATTAAAACAGCCCAGTTCAGTGGCTCACAGAACCAGTAGACACATTCAGTATCTACTTATTTCCACAAGAGCCACTCGCAGGGTCATCTAGTGCCCACGTGAATTCCTGATACTGGGGCAAGGTGGAGATATTTCCATTTTAATCAGGGACTTGAAATCCTTCAAGTTTAATTAGTATCTGATAGTGCAGAGACTTTTACAAACTCTGTTATGGGTAAAGTATAAGATCCTCAGTGGTCCTGGAGGTGGCAAAGGCTTCAAAGAAACTAGGCCTATTTTGCAGAACTGGAGGAGGTGGTAACTTGAGGTCAGAGTGAAGAAC